ATTTTTAATTAATTTTAATTAATATTTTATATATTTTGAGATAATATCCAAAAAAAAAGAAAAAACTTACACAACCTCGTAGTCCTGAAAGCCTTTAGTTTCTTAATTTTACAGTATGATTTTGCTTTCAATTGGGTACGTACTAAAATGTTTTCCCTAACTGGTTAGATCATAATTGACTTCTTGAAATATATTTTTACAGTAGTGGAGTAGATGATGGGTAACTTTTCTCCTACTTATAATCCAGATATTTGCCTGGATCTAATTCAGCGCTACCCAAAGTTGGCCGTTACTACAAACAAAGAAAAGCAGGGATTCTCTCCTATTTTTATAATGTCACGCCAACCTAAGTCATTCGTTGGTGGAGGTAGGCTTCAGGGCTTGGAAAAGCCGATTTATAAATGTAAGTATGGATTCCCTTTAATTTCATATTTTAATCTTTAAATTTTATTGTCTTTTAGCTATATATATTGATTTAATTGATCTATTTGTGGTATATGTATTGAAGTGTTAAAGGTAAAGCTACCCACAACTTTCTCTGATGAAGTATGAATTCTTATTACGATTACGACCTCAAAGAAAAGAAATCGAAATGCAAGGTATTTCCGTATTTGAATGTATCCAAGTTGACCACACTATAGCGTGATATCATTGAAAATAAAAAAAAAAAAAAATTAGGCCTACCATTAATAAGTATTATATGTAGGATATCTTTAAGATTTTAAATCTTGAATCATCATTTAATAAAATTAATTTTTTTGAATACACTAATGTGATATGAAAGTGTATTGTTAAGATTTATTGAGGAGAGACTAGGTTTTGTTTATGAGTGTTGAATTATAATTATAATTGTATGTTTTTTAGTCTTTTAATATTTTAAAGTTATATAAATATATTTAATATTTATTTTAATTAATGTTTTCTTTATTTTTATGGTAAAATACAAAAAAATCAAAAACTAAAGCACCAAAAAAACATTCTCAAATAAAGCCCTTATCTTCAAATACACAAAAATTAATAAGGAGAGACTCTTACCATCTAATTACCACATTGCATTTTAGTATTTGTTATATATGGGGAAGGGGAAACCAACAATCCTGTGACTCGAAATCCTCGAGCTCACTAGGGGATGATTGCCACTAAGCCACTTGATCGGAGCGCGGAAAACATGGATTTATAATTATTGTTTTAAGTCAGCACGTACATAACAGTATATATAATGAAAGTTTTCTTTTATTATTTTCTTTAAAAATATAATAAAAATAAAAATTTAATCCATTAAAACTTAATAAAATTCTATTATAAAAGAGAGTTATTTTTGTACACAGAGACTGCTCTTCTTTTTTTTTTTTCTTCTTTATTTTTCATTTTAATTATGTTGGTAGTGTAACTTTTCACTTGTCAAGTCGTACTTTACAGGCGATGCAACTTTTTATTTTATTGGTATTAATTTTATTATTTTTTTTAATTTGATTTTTTTAAATGAATTGAATAAATTAAAAGTGGTACAATTTTTAAGAAAATTCTATTTAAATATATATACACTAGATAAAAAGTGTTTTATTAGATATTTTATTTTAGAATTAAATATTTAAAATTATGTGAATTTATATAAAATAATATCAATTATGTTAATGTAGTACTAAAATAAATTTTTGTATTGTT